CAAATCCTAGTGTTTCACTGCAAACTTGTACACTTATGAGGTGTGACCTCAGTATTTAACAAATGAGGGAGGGAGGGAGGGAGGGAGGGAGGGATGGATGGGTGGGTGGATGAAGTGAAGGAGGAGGGATGGATGGATTGGTAAATGGATGGATGGATGGTTGAAGGAGTGGATGGATGGACAGATAAAGGAGAGAAGGGAGGGAGCAATGGATGAACGGGGATGGATGGATGAAGGTCTGACTGGCTGGCCAGCTGGATGAAAGTAAAGAACAAGAAGTGGTACCCATGGGTCACCTCTAGCCTGGACTCTCCACGCCCGAGCATCCAGCATGAAGAGCACAGATAAAGGCTGGGCTGGGCCAGGGGTAGCGCCCAGAATGAGCTGGGAGGGGCTCACTTGAAATGACCTCAAGTCAGGAAGTCCTGGGAGGGACGGGATGGCCCCAGCTGAACCGTCTTCCCTCACTGCAGTTGTCCAGACTGAGCATAAACAGCCCCCTAATCTGAGCTCCAAAGAGCTGCCCGTGGCATGCAACACCCTGGGCTCAGATTGGGAATCCAACCAAAGGCAGAGACCAAACTCTCCAGGTGCAGGAGAGTCACCTGGGGGCTGAATTTACAGTTATTTACCCCCACCTCTCAACTGGCTTTTAACAAAGCCATTCTCAGCATCCAATTAAGTCGCAATGGACTATTAGATCACTAATTGCTGTGTATTTAATAGGAGAAACTCACTCTTGAGTAGTTAGTGTAAATCACTTGCTGAATGCTGATAACCACACTCCCCAGGCAAGCCGGATCTCTGTGTATGAAGCCATAAGTTCCCCTTGGCTCACCCTCCCTGAATGGACTTTTCACCTCTCCAGTCAGACACACCCTCCATTCACAACTGCAGGGTGGGTTTCACATCTGTCCTGTGGAACACAAGATGGACGTCTCTCTGGGCATCCCACCAGCATCGCCCCCCACCCACCTGCACTGGAAGCCTCTCTTGGCTATTTGGGGAGTTTGGAGAGCAAGGTCAATGCTTTTCTCTATCCTGAGCACTCAGCTTGACACCTGCTATAATCACTGGCTGAATGATGATGAGAAGAGAGGGAGGAAAGACTAGGGAGGTGAGGATGCTCCCATATCCACAGCCTGCGCTTGTTCTGGTGGCTGAGGCTTGGGGATTGGAGAGAGAGCTGCCAGAGGCCTTCTGCTGCAGGCTGGCATTGCTGGAGAGTCCGCCTGGGCTCACAGCCCTGGTGGTGATGATGTCAAGACTGAGAGCCCTCCCAGCAGGCACTGAGGCCCTTTCCCCAGGAAAATAAAACCTCACCAAACCTGCTAGCTGTATGACACCCCCTCTCTCAGATGGAAGAAGAGAGACTTCAGGGGACCTCCTGCCTTCAACCCTCCCCACCCCACTCCTGGTAGAAAGGGGCTTTAGGGTGAATGAGAAAATGAGAGAATGAGTGGATAATACACCCCAGGAGGAGGTATGTTCCAAAGCCAGGTGTTTGCAAAGATTGTGGCTCTTCAGTCGCTCAGACGCGTCTGATTCTTTGTGACCCCATGGACTGCAGCACACCAGGCTTCCCTGTCCTTCACCCTCTCCCGGAGCTTGCTCAAACTCAGGTCCATTGAGTTGGTGATGGTTGGTGATGTCCAACCATCTCATCCTCTGTCATCACCTTCTTCTCTTTGGAAAAGATTGTCCAAGTCTAAATCCCAGGGCAAAATTCCATCCCAAATACACTGACAAGGAAAAGGATTTCATTTTTATATATTTATCCACAATACCTAAGGTTGGTTCCCAGACCTCTTCTGTTTTAAAGAATCATCTTTAACTACAGACTAAATTAAATAAAATTAAGATATACTGGCTTCCCAAACAATGACTCTGTGATGGATTTCAGGCTTGGTTGGTTCAAGCTGTGCTGTGAGGCATCAGAATCTCTTTCTCTGTTTCCCTTTCTTTCTCTTTCTCTCTTTCTGTTTCTCTGTTTCTCTTCCTCTTCCACCCTTTCCTTCTCCTCTCCCCACCCCAGGATCTTCTGCCATGGCTTAGTTCTCATGCAGGCTCTCCATCGTGGTAGCTTGTAGTCAGCAGCTCTAGACTTCTATCTAAGGGGGTAGCTCCCTCACAATGGGAGCTGCTATCCAACAGCTAACGTCCTGGAATTGAGTCTCACTGACCTGGCCTGGGTGATATTCCACTATGCCCATACTTGCAGGAGAGGGTAGGTGTAAACTTCATCCAAACCACCCCCAAAGGAAGACCCAGAGGGAGAAAGAGGTCTGGACCATAAATGTATCAGTCCCGTCCCAACATGCTGTGCTCCGTATCCTGGGGACCTTTACCAGCCAGGACCACATCCTAGGGTGCTGGGCAGTGGCTCTCTGAGGAGCACTGAGACTCAGGTGTGTCTGGGGCTATGGCCTGGGTGTGCTGCTGGCTGTTGTGAAAGGGGCGGCTCTGGACACCCCAAGAGGCAGCCTGTATTTTTGGTATTTTCTCTTCTGAATGACCCTTGGATCATCTCATCAAATTCCACTCAAATCTCACTGGGATTTGATTAGGGTTGCACTGGCTCTCTGGGTGAACTGGGGAGAACTGACATTTTATGTATTGTTTCTCACTCTCAAGCATGTCATTTCCTCCCTGTATTGGCGTCTTCTTTAGGAAGTCGATAGAAACTTACAGTTTTCTTAACGGAAGGCTCCTATATTTCTTGTTAGTTTACTTTTCTTCTCTGGGTATTTTATAGCATTTGTTTCCCTTTGTCAATTTTATTTTCTAATTGGTTATTATAAATTGCATTATGCACACTTTGTTTGGCTCCCAAGAGATAAAGATTCAGTTGAGACTTAACTATAACAAAAAGGGGTGTGTGATTTATTATGTCATCAAACTAAGAAATGAGGGCTGGCTGGCTTCAGGCACCAAAGGATGAAACCCGTCCCCTACTTGTGCCCTCCACACATGTATCATTTAGGGAAACACCAGCTGCTTCAACAGATGATCCTTGGTCTTGCAGCTTAACCCAACACAAGATGAGTCTGTTGATTGAGCATCTAAGAATCCCAGTGCCTCTTCTCCAAGCAGGGATTCCAGGACTCAGCCTCCATCAACCCAGGGCTCCCAAGGTCAGCTGAAGGTCGGCTCCAATCTAGGCAGGAGGGAGGGAGGAGGGTGTGTGGGTGGCGCTTATGGGTCTACACAGAAGTGGTGAGCATCAAAGGATGAGTGAAAAAACAAAATGCGGTCCAGACATACAGTGGGATGCCATTTAGCCACGAAAAGGCATGGATTACTGACATGGGCTCCAACACGATGCACCTTGGAAATACAGTGCATGAAAGAAGCCACACCAAAAGGCCATGTGTTGTGCACCTCCATTTTTATGAAATGAATAAGGGCGTCTCCACAGGGACGGAGAGAGGTGAGAGGTGGCCGGGGGCTGGGGGAGAGGAGGATGCAAAGTGACTGCTGACGGATGCAGGGGGAGCGCGGGCCTCCAGGTGGGAACTACTTTGGGATGCTCGTGCTGGCGTTCTTTCCTTAGGTCTCTGCTCCTGATCTGCGGTGGCCCTACTGGGGGTTCTTGACAGATTTAAACCCATCCATGTCAAATGACCTTGCTCAAGTTCGTGAGCTTCTCTCTCAACCTCGGCTCCTGCACCATGAAATCAGCTCGAATAAGCCAATCTCACAGACTTATTTCTTATGTAGCAAAGTCTGTAATATCTCTCTTCAGCAATGACCACCAGCTTTCGCATATTCTTTTTTTAAATACAGGTATTTCAGTTTATTGTATACATACTATGTACACAGTTTTAAAGGAATAAAAATCCTACACTCTGGAACATAAGACAGTAAACAGAACGAAGACTGGCATTACTATACAAATGTGATTAACAAACATAAATAAGAAGCTATGATTTTTGGCTTTCCAGGTGGCGCTAGTGGTAAAGAACCCACCTGCCAACACAGGAGACTTAAGAGATGCACGTTTGATGCCTCCCTGGAGGAAGACACAGCAACCCACCCCAGTATTCTTGCCTGGAGGATCCCATGGACAGAGGAGCCTGGGGGGTTACAGTCCAGGGGGTTGCAAAGAGCTGGACAGGACAAAGCAACTCAGCACATACGAACGCATGTGGTTTTTAGCCACGTTCATATTATGCAGTTTTAAAACTAATATTTACAGTGATTAAATCCTTACTTGAAACCGTACAGTTGGTAAAGGATGTATGCCATTTTAAGTATTAATTCGGAGACATACAAAACAATTTTACTGGTATTTATGTGGAATAAATGAAGAATAAATACGTGAAGGATATGCTTTCATGAACCTAACTGTGCTTTCAGGAACCAGAGCATCTATGTTGTTCCTCCCATGTTGGAGGTCAAGTGCACGTCAGGGTGGCCCTCCCCAGCTCCCATGGTGGTTTGGGGCCACGTGACTTGCTCTGGACAATTAATTGTGGATAGATGTGCAGTGTGTACCTTTGCTGCCAGTGAAAGGTCCTCCAGGCCACCCACATGTGAGTGAGTGAGTGAGTGTCTCACCCACAGGGTGAGACAGTGTTCCAGATGGTGTCAGCTCTGTCAGCCTGATTCTGGGGTGAGGGTGAAGCAGCAGAGAGTCCCTGGGACCTTCAGTGGATGTGCAACATGGGTGAGAAGGCCTCTTGTTCCGTGGCACTGAGTCTTGGGGAATGTTTGTTTCTGCAGCACAGCTTAGCCACGCTGACTGATACACAGTTGCCAGAGTTCCCCTCCACTCATGACTCTGCTCTGATGCAGAGAGATCCCTGTGAGCATTTCCCAAAATGCTGCAAGCCTTGCTCAAAGAGGCTGTCTGTTCTTTGTTGACCCTTTTAATCGAAGTCTGGGGGAGGAAGGGCCATGCCCACGTCTGAGTTTGTTGTGAGCTCTGATCAGTTCAGTCAAGCCGAGGTTCAGCCTGGAGCTGGTGAGACAGGTGATGTAGTCCAGACAGCCATGGATCAGAGGGTTCTCCTCCCAACGACCGAGGAGCCCATCTCCCTGTATTCCTCTCTGGTGACCCACATGTCCTTGAAGGTGGAGAGTGAGCACAGGATGGAGCCACCTACCCACGCACCATACACGGAATACGGACAGGTGGACACCTGCATGGGGGTGGAGGAGGCAGAGAGGGGGAGTGGAGGAGGGAAGGGAAGAGGGTGAGGCAGGACGGAGGGTCAGAGGGGAGAGAGGGAGGGAAACCTGGATCAAAATACTAACAAACTGGGGGAACAAAATGCCAACCCCTGAGCGAACTTCACAGGTAGTCATTCCCCCACCCTAAAGCAAGTACAGTCTATTCCAACCTTTAAAGATGCTTCGTGGCCCTCATCCCACTGCTTGTAGCTTAAAATTATAGATAAAAGGAATAAGAACACAAAAGACTCACAGTTGACTCTTGGATTCACTCTAAAATACACGATACACTAGTTCCGTATATTAAGACCATGCAAAAGGCATACATCATTTTGTAGAAAAAAATACAAATAAGCAAAAAAAAAAAAATCCAATAATCAGACCAGGTGGAGAAGATCTCGTCTACCGCCTGGGGCATCACATCAAGACTTTTTCTGGCTTTTGCTCTGTTCTTACTTTTAGATGGACATTAGCCATGTGTGTGGCAGATGGCAGTGTTTCTTATCCAAGTCAGGTCACCCCTGGATTGAGCAGGTCAACGCCTGCACACCCACCTGCCGGCGGCATCAGTGAGGTGCTGAAGCATAGTTGACTCGCTCAAGGTCAGATGGTGTCATCCTCACCTGTTCACTGACTTTCCTTAAGGCTCTTAGACGCATCATAGTCCAACATGTTTCTTCTCCTAATCAGCGAGGTGAGCACACTGCTGCAGGGCAAGGGGATTTAGAAGGAGGATTTCAAACACCCAAGGTCCAGTTGGAAGCGGGAGTGAGGGAAGATGAGTTATCAGATTCAGTCATGGGGAAGCCTGCTGACTCTATTGCCATAGAACCATGCTTGGCTTGGAAACCGTCTGCTACTATTGGTTAAGACAAGAAAAACTGCTAAAATTTTAAGGGTAACAAAAAAGACAAGGAAAAGGATCAGAAAGGGCATGGGAGGCATATTCAGGGTCAGGCATCAGGCAGGGAAAAGAGCTGCCACAGGTGCCTGGGACCCTATGTTCTGACTTTTTTTCCATCAATAAGCTGCCACTCTAGATGAGCCACAGACCCCACCTATGTCCTGTCTAAAATGATATCTGTTCATTCAGAAGAGAGCAAAGCCCCCAGCAGAAAAAAAATGGCCAGAAGGTTGGAATAAGTGATTACAAAAATATGTTAAAGTAAAAGAAGATAAACAAGAAGGTATATAGCACAGGGAACTGTATTCAGTATCCTGAGATAAACCATAATGGGGTAGAACGTTAAACAATGAATACACGTGTATCACTGAGTCGCTTTGGTGTGTAGCAGGAATGAACACTACACTGAGAAACAACTGTTCTTCAATTTAAAAAAAGGGAAAGAGAAAAACTGCAGACAGCTGGGAAACCTGCCAAAGACTCACCTTCATTAGTTATTAAAGAAACAAAATTAAAAGTTATTTTTCATCCACCCACTTGGAAAAGAGTTTTAAAAATGATGGACCCCATTGGAAGGACTGATGTTGAGGCTGAAACTCCAATACTTTGGCCACCTGATGCGAAGAGCCGACTCATCTGAAAGGACCCCGATGCTGGGAGGGATTGGGGGAGGGAGGAGAAGGGGACGACAGAGGATGCCGTGGTTGGATGGCATCACTGACTCAATGGACATGAGTTTGAGTAAACTCCAGGAGTTGGTGATGGACAGGGAGGCCTGGAGGGCTGTGGTCCATGGGGTCGCAAGGAGTCAGACACGACTGAGTGACTGAACTGAACTGAACTGAACTGATGTTGAAGGAACAGCGTGGATGAGACACTGTCTCCCCAGTGTTGACAGGACTGGAGGCTGGCTATTCTCAGGGGCACCTTGGCTGTAGGTTCCAAAAGCCTTAACAGTGCGTGTATTTCTGGCTCAGGAAACTCCCATCTGGAAATGGATTCTAAGGGCGGGGGGGGGGGGAATTCTCCTAAAGAAATAAGGGGAAATCATGGCACAAGAACATTATTATAGCAAGATCTAGGTTGTCAGGAGAAGCTATTGCCCCATGGAAACCAGCTGTTCTCCGAAGGGAGAGGAGTCTGTTTTAGGGAGAGCATTCTGTTCTTTAGGGGACAATACAATGAGCCCTGCAGATGACTAAAGGTTAACCCACATCCCCCTTCTCTCCAGAGATGTCTAGATGAGAGAGAACTTGGGCAGAGCCAGAGCTAAGTTTTAATAAAGTTATAGGAAAAGGGAGATGCCTTCAAGCTTCATATGGAGAAGTTTTTGGGGTGGGGGGCTGGGGAGTAACTTGAGGGCTCAGAAGTAGGGATGGAGAGTTTGGTTCAAACCTCAGTCCAGCCACAGGCTGGCGGGCAAAGCCAATGCAAGACCGTGTGAAGGGTGCTTTTTGCAATGGTGGTCAGAAAACACAGAGAGCCTGTAGCATGTTTCCATTTGTCTTCCATTCTGGCTAAGCTTGCCTTCTTTCTGGTTTAGGGGCTTCCCTTCCTAAGGGGCTCAGATGGTAAAGACTCTGCCTGCAATGTGGGAGACCGGGGTTTGATCCTTGGGTCGAGGAGATCCCCTGGAGAAGGGAATGGAAACCCACTCTGGTATTCTTGCCTGGAGAATCCCATGAACAGAGGAGCCTGGCAGACTACAGCCCATGGGGTGGCAAACAGTTGGACATGACTGAGTTACTAACACCTTCACTTCCTGGTTTAATGCAAGGTTTTTACAGGTAAGAACTCGGAGGGTCAAGAGGAGGAGCAGCGGAAAAGCATTCCTGAGGAGAGCGCAGGACTTCAGAGTGAGAAGCCGTGAGGGATAAGAGCTTTCTAATAATTATGTAAATGTCTCATCTCATGTGAGATGCTGGAAGGAGGCTGCAGCCTTGGGAGGTGAGCAAGCAGGTCAGTAACAATTTTCCAACATTACCTATATTTATGTAGCATCATAGGAAACTGTATAAAGAAGACGGCAGCCTTAGGAAGCGCAAAGGCGGGGGGCACTGTTCTTTAACATAAATATGTGCCCTGGTGGATCCTATTTTATGATGAGGGTTGCAGGCTTAGGAAGGAAGGGATGGGATTAATTTTCCAGTATTACATGGATTTATATAATAATAATGGAGTTTTATAATGTATATACAAGACGACTGCTGACTTTGGAAGGGAGGCCTGTATTGATTATATAATACCTAATACATTTATCTTTCCATGAAATTCCTGAGTCTTCCCTGTTGCCCCAGTGGCTCTGGAGGAGGAGGCATAGAGACCACCCAGAGCAAGAAGCACTGTTGTGCTTGGGGGACAACCCTCGGTCCTCAGTCTCTGAGGGGAAAAGAAGGCCTCTACTTAACCAAGAGCACGTGGGTGGTCCCATCCCTCCAACCCCAGCCACCCAGCCTGGGCTCACTCTGAGCTGGTTCCTTACAGTTAGAGGGAGAGACAGGAAGATGCTTCTTCATGGCACAAATTGGGACTGAAATTCCAAACCCAGTGTATCAGTTCAGTTCAGTTCAGTCGCTCAGATATGTCCAACTCTTTGCGACCCCATGGACTACAGCACGCCAGGCTTCCCTGTCCATCACCAACTCCCAAAGTCTACCCAAACTCATGTCCATCAAGTCAGTGATGCCATCTGTCGTCCCCTTCTCCTCCCACCTTCAATCTTTCCCAGCATCAGGGTCTTTTCAGATGAGTCAGTTCTTCACATCAGGTGGCCAAAGTATTGTAGCTTCAGCGTCAGCATCAGTCCTTCCAATGAACACCCAGGACTGATTTTCTTTAGGATGGACTGGTTGGATCTCCTTTCAGTCCAAGGGACTCTCAAGTCTTCTCCAACACCACAGTTCAAAAGCATCAGTTCTTCTGCACTCAGCTTTCTTTATAGTCCAATTCTCACATCCATACATGACTACTGGAAAGATCATAGCTTTGACTAGATGGACCTTTGTTGACAAAGTAATGTCTCTGCTTTCTAACATGTTGTCTAGTTTGGTCATAGCTTTTCTTTCAATGAGCATCTTTTAATTTCATGGCTGCAGTCACTTTTAATTTCAGGGGTGCAGTCATCTTTTAATTTCATGGATGCAGCCAAAATCACACATGGCTGCAGTGATTTTGAAGCCACCCAAAATAAAGTCTGTCACTATTTCCATTGTTTCCCCATCTATTTGCCATGAAGTGATGGGACCAGATGCCATGATCTTAGTTTTCTGAATGTTGAGTTTTAAGCCAGCTTTTTCACTCCTCTTTCACTTTCATCAAGAGGCTCTTTAGTTCTTCGCTTTCTGCCATAAGGGTGGTGTCATCTGCACGTCTGAGATTATTGATATTTCTCCGTGCAATCTTGATTCCAGCTTGAGCTTTACCTAGCCCAGCGTTTCTCATGATGTACTCTGCGTATAAGTTAAATAAGCAGGGTGACAATATACAAACTTGAAGTACTCCTTTCCTGATTTGGAACCAGTCTGTTGTTCCATGTCCAATTCTAACTGTTGCTTCCTGACCTGCATACAGATTTCTCTAGAGGCAGGTCAGGTGGCCTGGTATTCCCATCTCTTGAAGAACTATGGACGGAGGTTCATGACATTGTACAGGAGGCAGTGATCAATTCCATTCCCAAGAAAAAGAAATGCAAAAAGGCAAAATGGTTGTCTGAGGAAGCCTGATAAATAGCTGAGGAAAGAAGGGAGGCTAAAGGCAAAGGAAAAATAAAATAAAATAAAATAAAGGCAAAGGAGAAAAGGAAAGATCTACCCATTTGAATGCAGAGTTCCAAACAATGGCAAGGAGAGATCAGAAAGTCATCCTCAGTGATCAGTGCAAAGAAATAAAGGAAAACAACAGAATGGGAAAGACTAGAGATCTCTTCAAGAAAATTAGAGATACCAAGGGAACATTTCATGCAAAGATGGGCACAGTAAAGGACAGAACTGGTGTGGACCTAACAGAAGCAGAAAAAACCCCAGTGCATAAACTTTGCTTATAGAGCTACTTTTATAAACAGGGGGGAAAAAAGAAAATGTTTGAAAAATGGAGTAAAAAAGATGCCCATGTGAAAAGGCTACATGCTCTGTGATTCCAACCACACGAGCTTCCGACGATTTGATTTCAGCTACGTGGCATTCTGGAAAAGGCAGGTCTATGGAGACATTAAAATCATCCGTCGTTGCTCGGGGACGGGGGAGGTGGGGAGCAGTGGGCAGCGCCCAGGGCGCTATTAACGTGAACTATCCTGTGACAGCCCCCGTGGATGCGGAATTACTTCCTCTGCAGGACAGGCTATCTGTGGGCGCATGCCTTTCTACGTTCCTCAAAGCCCATCACACGCACGACACCAGGGGTGAAGTTTAATGGCAACTACAGACTTCAGCTGACAGCGATCGGTTCCTCGGTTGTAACCAATGCACCCAGGAAAACCACGGCTGGGCTCACAGGGGCGACTGTGCGCACAGGGAGAGATGTGGGAACTCGCTTTCTCTTCGGTTTTTCTGTAAACCTAAGACTGCTCTAAAGAAATACAGGCTGTGAATTTGAAAGTAAACAAGAAAAGTTTACATGGTGCTGAGGGCATGGCAGGAAGCCCCTGGCAGGGGTGGAGGGTCAGGCAGGGGAGGGGCCCTGGCTTCCTCAAGCCCGAGCTGCGTGGAAGCCGGCCTGCCTTTTGCAGACCTGGATCCGGGAAGTGGGGATGGGGTGGGGGACGTGAGGGGAGCCTCTCTCTGCACCGTCAGCTTCCTCTCCCCACAGATAGTCCCCGGCAGAGGTCATACAGGCAGGTAGCTCTCCCGTCTTAAAACCACCGCCACCACAACCGCAAAACTCCTTCTGATCTCACGTCCCAGCTGTCGCCTGGCTTTTCTGTGCTTCTTGCAGCAAAAGTCCTTCCAGTCCCCTGCAGACATCGGCTTTCTAGGCCCTCCAGGTGGCCTGTCTCACCCGACAGAAGATGCTGGATCCCAGGCCCCCGGGAACCGGTCTTCAGCCTTGCCCCGCTTGCCAAAGTTGCAGGATTTCTAGGCCAGCTTGCTCCTCCCGGCAGGGCTGCTCTCTCTCCTCCTCTCCTGCCTGCGCTCTGGAGCTCCAGTTCCCGGGCATCCCTGTTCCTCCAGCCTCTCCCGATGGGCCGCGGGGCTGCATGCGGCGCTCGGCCCTGTGCCCTGTCTGCACCCCGCCCCTGGTCTCTAGGCGGCCCGCCTCTGACGACGTCTCCAGTGTGGAGCTGGAGCCCAGCCTCCTCCCACCTCTGAGCTCTATCCCTCCTGAATTCTGCTCCCTGACAGACAGGGGACATCCCCAAGGGGATGCGTCCAAAATGACTTCAGGCTAGAACTTCAGGACATGCCCAGGGTTCCTCTGTCTCACCGCTACTTCACATCTCCCCAAAAATCTTACTGCCTTTGCCTTGAGTGTGAGCTCAGAATTTGGCCACCTTCCCACACCCTCCGTGCTGCTGACTCTGAGCCACCAGCATCCCTCATCTGGACCCCAGCATCACCTCCCAGCTCCACCCGCACAGTCCACTCCCCACTCCAGAGCCTGGCCTGATGTCACTGCTCTGCCCAAACCTCCTGTTGGTTTCCAGGCTCCTTCACGGTAAAATCTCACATGGCTTCTCTGACCCTGTTTACCCCGCTCCCTCTCTCAGCCCAGCCAACTTTCCTCAGCACTTCCTTAAGAAATCTGCCTCTGGGCTGCTATGTGGGCTGTTCCCTGTGCCTGAATGCTCTTCCCCACATATCCACCTGCTCCCCTCTCCTCCTTCAAGTATTCACTGAACACCACCTTTCCAGGAGTGCCCGTGCCCTGACCTCTCTCCCCTTCTCCTTCCTGTCTGTCTCCCCGACCCCGGGGCTCATAGCGCTTCCCAGCGTATCACCCTCCGTACATATGATCTGAATTGCTTACTCCTTATCACCCTCCCCCCAACACACACTGGAACGTAAGCTCCCAGAGTTTTGTTGCTTTCTGTTAACTGAGGCTTCTGCAAGCACCTGGCACCTCAGAGGTATTCCAGGAACATGGAATAAATCACCGAGTCTCAGAGGGTGGGTGGAGGGGCCCTACCTTCACACTAATCTTCGGGGAGACCAGGGCGGATGCTTCTTTCTGCAGCCGGGATCTCAGGCCAGAACAGGTGCCCATACCTCCCGACAGGATGATGTGGCCAAAAAGGATCTTCCAGAGGGCAGGGTTGCAGGAGCTGATGCATTCGAATGCCTTTATGTGGATGCCCAGGTCGTTCCGCTCTGTCAGGATGGACGGAACAAGGAGGAAACTTAGGGGGCCAGAGGCCTAGTGGCTGCACCCCTGGGCTCCTCCCTTCCCAGGCAGGGACCAGGGAGGCGGGGGCCCCCGAGTCTCAGGAAGTTCAAGTGCAGTGGACAGACAGCACCGTTGACAGCGAGGCCCTTACAGGTTCAACACAATAAAGTACGTGAACTGCCCAGTGCAGGCGTGGGGTCCGCAACTCACGACTGAAGAAATAAATGTTAATTCTCCTCGCTCATCTGGAAGACCTTGCATCCAAATGTCACCGACAGCTATTAATTTTTAATTAAAAAAATTCTTTAGATTAATTTTTATTGGGTATAGTTTCTTTACAATGTTGTTTGTTAGTCTGTACTGTTCAGCAAAGTGACTCAGCTATATGCATACATACATCTCCTCTTTTCTGGGTTTCCTTTCCATTTAGGTCACCAAAGAGCCCTGGGGAGGGTTCTCTGAGCTGTGCGGAATTCTCGTTAGCGGTCCACTTGACACACAGGATCAGCAGTGTATAAATGTCAGCCCGTCTCCCAGCTCACCCCGCCCCCTTGGTGTCCGCGTGTTTGTTCTCTTTGTCTGTGAGTTATTCGTTTTTAACGTGTTGGCATCCGTTTCCTTATGAAAGGACTCTGTAGCCACAGGGTTTTTGCTCAGGTGGCCTTGGAAAATCATCCTGGTCCTTCCTTTCCTGACTCATCCCTCGCCTGCGTGGCCTCAGAGGCGATGAGAACAGACCTAAAGGACGTGTGCACTGTGGTCCTGTCTCTCAGAGACTGTGAGGTCCTGGGAGGGATGGCTGGTGCCTATCACTGTGTCCCCAGCTGTGACGGTACCGACCGTGTGGCCCTGGGATAAGGACTGGAAAGTCTAACTCGCAGGAGCCATGGAGACGTGTGGTCCTGAACTACCGGCAAAGTCACAGTTGTGCCCGCAAAGCTGCCGTCCACCTAGACCCAGAAGAGAGCTTTCATGCTGTGGGTGAAACTTCACCCGACGGCTTCTTCATTTACCCTTAAAATCTGGAGCTGTGCGCCATGTTTTAAACCTTCACCCCCTCACAGCCTGTCGGAGAACTCAGAACCTGGCTCACCTGTACTAGATAAAAACGCTGGGTCCTTACTAGGTACTCATTCTGGGGAAGTTTACGTCTTTTATTCCCCTTTGTCCCTTCTTAATGTAACCAATTATCTCTAAGCTTTGATTTCAGGCAAGAGCTGGCTTTCCCTGACTACTTTGCAGACTTCATTTTCCCAATCAAAGGGAATTTTATACCTCATCATTTTTTTTCCTGTTCTCCCATGTCTGCCAGAGAGCTTTGTCAGCTCAACCTTCATTTAAAATCTCTGGATCAGCCAGATTTTTAAAGTTTCCTTCAAATTCCATGGGTTTTGCTTCTTTGCTTTGTCTGAACATCTATATTCTGGACTATTTTGTAAGTAGGTAGAATATAAATAATACATAATGAAAAAGACTTGTTGTCCAGGGTAGTATCTCATCACATTTGATGAATGATCTAACACTTTCTAGTAGGTTTCTTCATCTGTAAGATGAAATAATGTGAGATCTGGGGAAGGCTGAAAGGACACAACACACGTACAAATGGTCAGCAACATATGGGTATGTTGATGTTAATTGTTGTTTAGTCACTAAATCATGTCCAACTCTTTTGTGACCCCCCATGGACTGTAGCCCACTAGGCTTCCCTGTTCATGCAATTCCCCAGACAAGAATACCGGAGTGGGTTGCCATTTCCTTCTCCAGGGGATCGTCCCGACACAGGGATCGAACCCTCATCTCGTGTATTGGCAGGTGGATTCTTCACCTGCTGAACCACCAAGGAAGTCCTGGAGACTATTTCTTAAACAGTGGTAAACCGTGTTTGGGTGCTTAATAAATGACGGTTGATATCAGGGGACCTTTTGAAATGAGGTGTCAGCTTGCTATTATTTGCTGCTCAAAATAGAATGCCCTCCTGGTAACCCGTCTCCTTTTGCCCTGCGACACGCTCATCTGCCTGTGTGTAGTTCGTCTCTGACCCCCTCCACGGACTCACCTATGAGGTCTGGCTGGAAAAGCACTTCAGGGCAGAAAAATCTCTCCCTCCCAAGGTCTATCTCCTGGCCGTCAGGCAGCTGACACTTTTGTGGGTAGGAGGGAGAGTTGGCTTCTGCCTTCTCTTTTTCAAAGTCCAAAGCCACAAAACAATTTTTCTCTTTCAGGTCCCGCACACACTCCCGATCAGCTGTGGAATAGACGAAAAGGGTCTGACTGTGAGTTGAGTTCACAAAAGGATTTTTTTTCTCCAGGTGCCTCCTTCTAAAGCTTCAGCTCCTTGCAGGTGGGGGGACCAGACAGAGCCATTGCAGCCGCAATTCCTATTGTCATCTCATAGTCTAGTGCCAGACTTCACATAGTTCAGTGTGAAGATTTTGCCTGCAATGCGGGAGACTCAGGTTCGATCCCTGGGTTGGGAAGATTCTCTGGAGAAGGGAATGGCTACCCACTGAAGTATTCCTGCCTGGGAAATCCCGTGGACAGAGGAGCCTTGTGGGTTACAGTCCATGCGGTTGCAAGGAACTGGACACAACATAGTGACTAAACAGCACTCTAGTACTTGCTGATCTGCAACACGTGTCGGGGCCTGAGAAGGGTGGACTAGGGATGTTCTGAACTAAAATGCAAATGTTTGAGAAGTGTCTTCATTTTATATGCGGTGTGCTTTGGGGGCTGGATAATCAAGTTCAATTTTATTATCTATTAATCTAGGAGGTGATGGTGCTCGCATCCCTACCTGCTATGAATATTGCCTCCAAACAGTTCACAACTGCCCCTTCCTCTGGAGAACTGCCCAAGACAACAGAAGCCCCCTATTCCAGAAACATCCCACCTTCTGGACTCCTGACAACAGGTTTCAGACTCAGCTACATCTCCTGGTGTTACACTTTTATTTTTGATCCATCATCGCTTTTGAGATTGGGTCAGAGGGCTCTCCCTGCACCCGCTCACCGGGAAATCCCGGTTCTTCAGCTCATGGACATCTGACCTTTACCTTGTCACTTCACCTAAACCAGGATGATGAATCTGTCAGTTGGTAATGGCAGAAGTGGGAGAGGTGAAATTTGAAAGTAGACTTTTTCTTGACTTTTTTCCCTCCAACAACTGATGCTGTTGGTCACACCCTTCTCTTTCCTTGCCTCCTGGGTAACACCTTATAGTTTCCCCTTCTTTGCCTGGTTTGGGCTTTGGTGAGACAAGTATAGGTTCAAATTACCTCTTCCACCATTTACCAAGTGCCAAGCTTCCCTGATAGCTCAGTTAGTAAAGAATCCGCCTGCAATGCAGGAGACCCTAGTTTGATTCCTGGATTGGGAAGATCCTCTGGAGAAGGGATAGATTATCCACTCCAATATTCTTGGGCTTCCCTTGTAGCTCAGCTAGTAAAGAATCCACCTGCAACGCTGGAGACCTGGGTTCAATCACTGGGTTGGGAAGATCCCCTTGAGAAGGGAAAGGCTACCCACTCCAGTATTCTGGCCTGGAGAATTCCATAGACTGTATAGTCCATGGGGTTACAGAGAGTTGGATACAACTGAGCGACTTTCACTTTCAAGCTCATTATCCTCTTAACCTTCCCTCTCCTCGTCTTCAAGAGTGGGACTGATCATTCCTCACAGTATTGCTGTAAGGATGAGAGGAAGTAATGCATATTTGACTTTGCTAAGTGTGAGGTGTCAGTAAAATGTGTGAGTCCATCCCAGTCGATCCTTACCAGTGTCCCTTCCTTTCCTCTAATTGCCACTATTCTTCTGGGTTCCATGCTTTCATGGTTTGGATATAGACCTTTCACCTGAGAAGACCAGAAACCACAAGGTGGGTTACAGGTTTGGTGGGAGTGGGGGTCGTGTAGGGTCTACAGGCTGGGAATTTAGTCCAGGAAGTGGGTGAAGAGTGGACAGGCACCTCCTTGTCTGGAGTCCTTGGGTTCCCTTCCCAGAAGTTATACCTACTAGTCACAGGAAGCTGAAGTCATCTAACTTTCCTAAACCTATTCCTCTTGTGATGGAGGTAATTGTTTCTACTCAGAGTACTGAAGCACAAAGCAATGAGAGAATGCATGCAGACTGTTTCCTTAGCCAGCTGCCTTTCACAGGGTAAGCACTCTGTAGAGCTTAGCTCATTAGCATCAGTGTCAGCATCACCTCACCACCTTCCCCACCATCATCATCATGACCACCACCGTCAGCACCTTCATCATCACCGTTACACCCGCATCACCACCCTCATCACCATCATAACCTCATCTTCACCATCATCCTGTTCCCATCATCAATGCACTAAATGTCCCTCGACATAGAGAGCATTGCTTTTTAGGACCAGAATGGTGGTAAAGTAGCCTGTGCTTTACAAATTGAGGGCTGTGGGTGGAGGAAGCTAAGGAGGCTATTGAGGCCCGAAGACCGGTTTACCTGGCTGGGAAGGGCAGCATCCTACCTGTGCTCACCAGCGAGTGCCCACTTTCTGACAGCAGACGTAGGAAGTACAAGGTTAGGTCTTGGCCCGCAATGTCCATGTGGAAGGTTGACTGATGCAAAGGACAGCCGTCAATGATGGGCACGAAGTACGTCATTCCTTCTCCAGACTCAATCGTCATCCCTAGGCAAGAAAGCACTCTGGGATCATCATGTCACATGCAGGGCATTGCTAGTTGGTTGTCAGGTCTGCTTGAAGACATGGCAGAGGAGCAACTAACCAGACGGGAAGACAAGGGATCCGAGGAGAAAACTTTCTTTCCCGGCAGGAGAGTGTGCTAGGATGGTGCCAATCTGGGTCAGACCAATGGCTAAATGTGCTGGAGAGGAAGCCTGCAGGCTTTCTAATTAAATCAGACATTCAGGTATTAGCCTTTTCATACTGTTCATGGAGTTCTTAAGGCAAGACTACTGAAGCGATTTGCCATTCCCTTCTGCAGGGGACCATGTCAAGGCTGTATATTGTCACCCCACTTAATTAACTTATTGCAGAGTACATCACGTGAAACGCCCAGTTAGATGAATCACAAGCTGGAATCAAGATTTCTGGGAGAAACATCGACAACCTCAGATATGCAGATGATACCATTCTAAAGGCAGAAAGCAAAGTGAAACTAAAGAGCCTCTTGATGAGGGTCAAATAGGGAAAAAAACTGGCTTAAAACTCAACATTCAAAAACCGACAATCATGGCATCTGATTCTATCACTTCATGGCAAACAGGTGGGGGGAAAGGGGAAACAGTGACAGATTTAATTTTCTTGGGCTCCAAAGTCATTGTGGATGGTGACTGCAGCCATGAAATTAAAAGACGCTTGCTCCTTGGAAGAAAAACTATGACAAACTTAGACAGTGTATTAAAAAGCAGAAACATTACTTTGCAGGCAAAGGTCTGTATAGTCAAAGCCATGGTTTTTCCAGTAGTCTTGTATGCACATGACAGCTGGACCATAAAGAAGGCTGAGCACGAAAGAATTGGTGTTTTCGAATTGTGGTGTTGGAGAAGACTCTTGGCAGTCCCTTGGGCTGCAGGGAGATCAAACCAGTCAGTCCTAAAGGAAATAAATCTTGAATATTTGTTGGAAGGACTGATGCTGAAGCTGACGCTCCAATACTTTGGTCACCTGATGCCAAGAGCCAACTCACTGGAAAAGACTCTGATGCTGGGAAAGATTGAGGAGAAGAAAAGAGAAGGGGATGACAGAGGATGAGATGGTTGGATGGCATCACCGACTCAATGGACATGAGTTTGAGCAAACTCTGGGAGATGGTGAAGGACAGGGAATCCTGGCATGCTACAGTTCACGGGGTCACAGAGAGTCGGACATGACTGAGCGACTGAACAACAAGGGCGTGGCACCAGCGTTTTCTCATTTTAAGACTTATTAAGCCAGGAGCAGGCAACCCACTGCAGTGTTCTTGCCTGAAGAATTCCATGGACAGAGGAGCCTGGCGGGCTACAGGCCATGGGGTCGCAAACAGTTAGACGCTACTTAGAGACTGAGCACGCACAAATAGATTGATGAAGCAGAAGAGAGAGCACAGAAACAGACCCCCACACACAGACAACCGGTTTTTAAAAAATGTGCAAAGGCAATTCAATGAAGCAAGCATAGTCTTTAAACAAATACTGTGGGGGAAATGAGATCTCTATACACACATAAAACTTCACTCATACTTCATACCATATACAAAAATTTGTTCGAAATGGATCTAAATGGAAAACTAAATGACAAAGTTTCTAGAAGAAAGCAGCAGAAAACTTCTTGGGCTCAGCGTGTATTTCTTAGATATGACACTGAAAATAAGATCCACAGAAACTAAACTGATGAATTGATCTTCCTTGAAGTTAAAAGCTTCTGCTCTTCAAAATACACCATGAAGAGGGTGAAAAGTCAAGTCATAAACTGGGAATAAATAGCTGCAAAACTTCTGGCTGATAAAAGACTTATACCCAGAATACAAAAAGAATTCATAAAGCTCAAAGATAAATAACTCAATTAAAGAAAATCGGGCAAATCATTCGAACAGACTGAAGCAGATCTACGGATGGTAAATAAACATGTGAAAAATGCTCAATCTGATTGGTCTTCAGGAAAATGCCAATCGAAACCACAATGAGACACAGTTGCACACCTGCTCAAAAGCAGAAATGAAAGATGGACCCCATCAAGGGCCTTGGAGGAACTGGGCCTCTCACAATGGTTGTGTGGGACCACACAGAACAGCCCATGCATCACCACGCTGTGACTAGTTTGGCTGAGTTTTTAAAAAGTTAAACATCCCCCTACCGCATAACACAGTCACCTCCCTTCTAAGTATTTGCCAAAAAGAAATGAAAACAAGTGTCTGTGCAAATGTACACAGGTGGACACTTGTACACAAATGTCCACAGAAACTTTATTGATAAAAGTCCCCAACTGGAAACATCCCAAATGTCCATTTCTGGGTGAATGGATGAAGTAGGGGCACTGATACCAAGGAGCATTACTCGGCAGCAGCAAGGGATGAGCTGTTGATATAAACAACAACACGGGTGAATCCCCAGATAATCATTTTGAGTGCAAAAAGCTGCCCAGGAAAGGGTACCCACTGCATAATGACACTTCTAGGAAACTCCAGAAGATGCAGACACATGTGTGGGGACAGGCTGGTGGTTGTCTGAGGACAGACTGGAGGAGGCAGCGTGTGGGGGTGGGAGGGAAGTATTTGAGGATGATGGGTAAGTTCGTCCTCTTGACTGTGCAGGTGGGTTCAGAGTGTATCCACACCTCAAGGTGTATCCAGCTGTACACACTGCAGTTCATAGTTGTCAATCATACCTCAATAAAGATGCTCAGGAAAAAAGTGACTCAGTGCAGGAGGTGGGGGAGAATGTTCAACCACGAGGGATGAAAAGGGCTCATAAGTGGCTTTTATGAATTTTTCTTTTCTTTTCTATCTGACAACAAGGGAGTGGGCAGCCAGAGGGAAGGGCTGGGCGTGGGCATGGCCATGGGCTCCCAGGGGCAACTCACCAGCGGTGTGGCCGGAAGCATAGAGAGAAAGGACTCCTTGGTTGGCTAAATATAAGGCAGGTACACTGAAGGTCTCAAACAGGATCTGCGGGAGATGTGGACGCAGTCAGGGGGCACTTTGCCTAAATTCCATGAGCAAACAAGTTCCTCTGGCCAGAGGCACGTGACTGCCCCAGAGGGATCCAGACAGCAGGTCAGGAATGCCACTGTTCACCCCAGCCCTGCCCTGACGAGCTCCACGACACCCTGACTCCCCGTCTGCAGAATGGGCTCGCACCCTTCCCAGGTACCAAAAGGGGGAGCGTCTTCTGCGCTTTCTCAGGACCAGCTAGAGGGCCTCACATCATCTTGTAAGCCACCGTTTCCTCACAGTGGGGAAAACGCAGATTCCCAAAGCCTCTGAGAAGCCGTTGCTGGTCCCTCCACTGAGTACACCCTTCTTTCCTCTCTCCGAGGGCGGGCAGGCCCATACGAGCAGGGTTCTTGGCCTTCCCCAATCAATAGAAATTGATCAGAGGCCGGACGAGGCACTCAGGCAAGGCTTGATCGGGGCGGGGCCCCTGTTGCAGAAGGCGGGGTGGCAGGAACAAGTAACAGGTGCCTGGCTCCCCCTGAGTGGGGTCGGGTGTGTCCAGGGGTGAGCAGAGGAGTGGTGTAGGTGGGTTGCCCGCTTCGTGGTGCTGAGAGCAGGGGGCACGTGCAGAGCCCTGCTTCTGCCACCACGACCCAGTTTTTAACAGTTTTTTTTTTGCTGCCATCTCTTCAGAAGTGGCAGTTGAGTTTTTCGGTCTCTTTGTATCCTTTGGTCCAGAATTTGTCCCCAGTGCACATGCGCGCAGTTATTTTTGGTGTCGTATAGTTTCTTGCTGGAGGAGAGTTGTGTCCCAGTGCAAGCACCACAGCAAAGGCCAGGTCCCAGGGCCTCCTGTCTCCAGACGTCCTCAAAATTCCGACACTTGGACTTTAGACAACTCATTTGTCCCATCACGATGGAGCAATGAAAGCTAACGGCTACTGTGTGTCACATACAGGCCAGGCACTTAGTCCAGACATGGCTTGGTCAAGAAACCTCTCCTGGGTGCTATGTACACGGGGGAAGCAGCAAACAGGGGAGGCACAGCCTCGTGTTTACGGCCCACGGGGGCGACCCCTGGTGGATGTGACATAGGATTCCCCCCCGCCCCATCCACATGAGAGACCGGTGGGTAAGAACGTGAGGGAGCAGGTGGCAGGAGTGGGACGTGAGCACGGGCTGCGGGGCACGCCGGGGCACGGCCTCTGTGACCCTGGTGGGGTGAGTGAGCGAGTCTGCCGCCAGATGGCGACACTGGGGTCCACGGGACTACAAATCCTTGCCAAGTCTATTCCTGCCCCTACACTCCAGAGGCAACCACTTTGGGTTTTTTCTTTTTTTTTGGCTGGGCGGGGTTGCTGCACTCTGGCTCTGGTCTGGGTGCGGGGGCTCCTCTCTAGTTTCGTGGGGGTGGTTTCTCTTGTTGCAGAGCCTGGGCTCCAGGCACGTGAGCTCAGTACTTGTGGTGAACGGGCTCAGTGCTTGTGGTGAATGGGCTCAGTACTTGTGGTGAACGGGCTTAGGTGCCCCACGGTGTATGGAATATCCCCAGACCTGGGATTGAAGCTATGTCCCCACTGAACCCGTGATTGGTTGGCAAGAGGATTCTTAACCACTGGACCAGCAGGGAAATTGTATTGGTTCTTTCGATGGCGGGACTCAACATGGTGTCCCTCGGATAGATAGAACTTTGTCACATGCAGCTCCAAACGTGGGTCAACTGACAGGCTGCACCATGGGGGTGGGACGGGGGTGCACCCAGGAACAGGGTAACAGTGAGCTGGAGCTGCCAGGGACAGAGCACCAATGGCCAGCGGCGGGGGGGTCTGCCAGGTTTCAAGGGATCCTTTGAATCGGCTCATTTGACTAATGTCATGGGCTCCTGGGCATAGAAACACACCCTAACGGTCTAGTACCCGTCTCTGAAGCGATTAGGGCAGGTGTATAGTGCCCTGGGGTGTGTGACGGGACCACAGACAGAGTGGTTGGGGTGTGGGCTTAATCCGCTGCCCAAGACAGAAATTAACCAGCCTCTAGCCAAGACCCCAAACCAGGTCAAGACAGCCTTTTTAAACAACATTATACACGGAACACACACCACTGAGTGTGTTACTCACAAAGCGTGCTTCCCTCTAAGGGGGTTATTACAGAGCAGGGCCTGGGGGCTTGATGATTTACCAAGAGAAGTGAGAATACATGTCCATACGAAGATTAGCCTGTCAGTCTTGCCATTCTTAGGTTCCCCCCGACCTGGATCCTGGAATTTGGATCCTAGTGGAGGTGGGAGGGCAGCTTTTATTTTTCAACTAGAGACCCTTCCCCTTAAAAACACAAAGACAAAAACCAGCTCCACTCCCCCTGGGCTGGCAAGAGCTTGGAAGGGTCTTCAGGGATCCTGAGGTCAAGCTCCCATTTCATAGATGAGAAAACAGAGGCCTAGGGACAAGAACCAGCATTTAGTGAGTGCTTGATGGTGCCGAGCATTGGGACACGTGCTTTAGAGTGGTTAACTCATCTCATTTCCATAGCACCCCGGGCGATACCGTCATCCTCCTCTGAGGGGACACCAGGACACCAAGAGGACCAGTCACCCACCCAAGGTCACAGGGCCAGCACTTGGGGGCCTCAATGCCAGCCCACGCCCTTCCCTGTATGCTGGGCTGTTCCCCACACTGGTTTCTCTCCTGGGACTTGGCCCCCAGAAACCCTCTTCAGATACACATTTATTCTCAGAGGAGAACCAGCCCCGCAGTCCTCAGCCTGCTTGTCTCCAGGAGGAGCCCCGGACATCAGCTGCTGGACTGAGGGCCAAAGGCAGGGAGGGGACCGGCTGGGAGGCCGGAGCGGACAGGGAGCTCGGCGCAGAGCCGCAGATGTGAGGTCCCTTGTTGGCAGGGAGGTGGCGTTCCGGGGCCTCAGTGCAGGCCCACGGCCGGCTGCCTCTCGTTTGTCTGCAGAAGCCTCCGCCCTCCAGCACTGCTCTGTCCTGGGCTGTGCTCACAGGTCCCCCTGCCCTGGGTGACCCGCTGGGATCTGCCCGGGGGGCTCCCAAAGGAGAAATGAGGGAGGTGGGAGGAGGCGGAGGACTGCTGACATCCCCACTCCCTCCCTCCTCGCCCCTCTGGGAGCTGGTGCCCACGGCTGCCCGCTCAGCCCCGGGCGTGTGTTGGCTCCAGTTACCAGCCCGGAGCCCGGCACCTCTCATGTGACTGTTCTGAGACTTGGGCTCACCCGTGTATGTCGGCTCTGCAATAAACTCACCAACACTACCCCATGGGGGCGTCCTTTGGTTTCCTGCTGGGATCCTGATACAATTAGGGAGTAAATTCAGAGACAGTTCAGGCAGAAAGGCAGGGAGCGGGTCTGGGAGTGGTGGGGAAGCGCCCGAGCCAGGCTCTGTGGCTGGCACTGCAGTTAGGATGAGGGTGGTCAACTTGCCTGGGCCACAGGGGCCAGACTCTGGGTCAAACATGCCTGGGTGTGTCTGAGGGTGTTTCCGGATGAGACTGGCAGTTAAGTGCATGTGCTAAGTGCTGAGCTCAGTCATTGCCGACTCCTGCAACCCCGTGGACTGTGGCCCGCCAGGCTCTCTGTCCATGAGATTTTCCAGGCAAGAATACTGGAGTGGGTTGCCATTTCCTTCTCCAGGAGATCTTCCCCACGCAGGGACTGAACCTGTGTCTCTTAAGTCTCCTGTATTGGGTTCTTTGCCACTAGCGCCACCCATAGACTGAGCAAAGCAAATTGTTCTTCCCAAAGTCAGTGACGTGAAAGCGAAAGAGTTGGTTGCTCAGTCGTGTCTGACTCTCTGCGACCCCATGGACTATAGCCCACCAGGTTCCTCTGTCTATGACATTCCCCAGGCAAGATTACTGGAGTGGGTAGCTGTTCTCTGCTCCAGGGGAGCTTCCCCACCCAGGGATCAAACCTGGGTCTCCTTCGTTGCAGGCAGATTCTTTACTGCCTGTGCCACCAGGGGAGGTGGGTCTCATCTAATCAGCTGAAGGGCTGACCGGAACAAAAGGCCTGAACTTCCCTGAAGGAGAGGGAATTCCTCCTGCCGAACGCCTTTGAACTGGGACATCAGGTTTTTTTAAAAATATATTCCTTATTATTAGTTTTTTATCTGTGGCTGTGCGGGGGCCTCGCTTCTGTCGGCACTTCCTCTGGTTGCAGCCAGCACACGCTTCTGTCACTGTGGCCTCTCGCTGTGGAGCCCAGGCTGTCGGGTCTGCAGGCCCCGTAACCGCGACCCCCGAGTTCTGCAGCCCAGGCTCGGTGGTGGGAGCGCTCGGGCTCCGCTGCCTGAGGCGTGTGGACTCTTCCCAGATCAGGGATCGAACCCATGTCCCCTGCGTCGGCAGGCAGAGCTTTACCACTGAGCCCTCAGGAAATCCTGGGACATCAGTTTTGTGTGTGTGTGGGTGGGTGTGGGTGTGGTTTTGGGCTAGAACTCAGACTGCTGGCTGTCCTGGGGTCCGTCCTGCTGGCTGCAGATGCTGGGACTTGCCGGCTCCCACTACCCTCATTGACCCCTTACAATAATGCGTATTTCTCCTTGGTGTCGCTGAGTCCCTCAGTCATGTTCGACCCTGTGGACTGCAGCACACCAGGCCTCCCTGTCCATCACCATCTCCCGGAGCCTGCTTAAACTCTTGTCCATCGCGTAGGTGATGCCATTCAACCGTCTCATCCTCTGTTGTCTTCTTCTCTTCCTGCCTTCAATCTTTCCCAGCATCAGGGTGTTTTCCAATGAGTCGGCTCTTCGCATCAGGTGGCCAAAGGATTGGAGCTTCAGCTTCAGCATCGGTCCTTCAGGTGAATATTCAGGGTTGATTTCCTTTAGGAGTGACAGGTCTAAATCCCTTGACTCTCTGTGTCTCCTCCACTGCATGTGTATCTCCTCCTGGTTCTGCTTCCCTTGGGGAGCCCTGAACACAACTGTCTGGAGCAGCATGTTCCCTCAGTGCGGAGGGATGCTTCTGTCTCTCTCTCCTCTCTCCAGCTCACAGGGGCCCCTTCAGGTCCTGGGCATTCTCGAAGCTGCTGTCTGCCATGGCAGGACTGAGGCTTATGCCAGGTCCACATGCCGCCTGGCGTGGCCCATCTCTGTGACCCACAGTCCACATGCAGGAGAGGACTCGTCAGCGCCTTCGAGCTCCGTGTTAAAAGAGGCGGAGCTCACATCTGTGCTGCGATGGACGCTGTCTGTTTCTGGGCCACGGAGGGAGCCTCCTTCCTGGGCAGGTGGTGCCTCGGGCCGCTGGGCATGCCCGCTGGGTCACCGCTCACCGTGGGACGTGCCGCTGAGCTCCAGGGAGTCCGAGCCAGGTGGCAGAACCTGGCTGCTCGCTTAATTAGCTCGCTGATGTCCTCATTAGGCAGCCCCTGCGGCCCCTACCCCACCTGGACCCCATGCCAGGCCTGAGGAGGACTCTGCCGTCTGCGCTGGGCATGCACCCCCCTTCCCCCACCAGCCTTGATAGGCTCCGTCACCCAGTTCAACCCACTTCAAGCTGGGGCAGTCCAACCAGCACACACCACCCACTCCTTGGGGTTGGGGGGCAAGCCGGGGGTGAGGCCTAGAGATGGAGGAGGTCCCGGAGCTCTGAAGTCAGGCTTAGACCGGCAGGCTGGACACAGCCGGCATCCTGGACACAGCCGGCATCAGTGCTGAGAATACACTGTGAACACAGACCCCAGGGGTCTCGGTGTGTCCACAGGCCACTTGCTGTGTGACCTCAGCCAATGACTTCCTCGGCTCCTGGAAGCCCCAGTTTCCCTGCCTGCCCAAAGGGGCACGTAAGCGCCCTGCACATAGAGTGGCTGCAGGTCTAGATGACACCATTCAGCTTCAACAACTTACCTGTGCTCAATGGTCTGGCGAGCCCTCTGGTGGAAGCCGTCCCTCTTGCTGCCGACGTCCAAGAAGTCAGGTCTCGCTGGTGTCTCTGTCTCCCCCGAGGTTGGGGAGGGACCCCTGCTGCCCCCCACCAGCCTGCTCCCTGACCCCCGAGCTCGCCTCCTGGCCTCTCACCTGTGACAGTCTCTCTTTGCTGGACATGGAGTTCAAGGGCGGCTCTGCCATCAGCAGAGGGTGCTGCTCTGGGGCGACGTGGAGCATCTGGTAGAAGGAGTAGTGCCAGATCTGATGAGAGAGGGAGTGCGGCTGTCAGCGCCCTGCAGCCCCCACCCCGGCCTCTACTGCTGCCCACCCCGGAGGAGGCCAGCCAAGGGCCAGGAGGACCGTAGGGAGGCCCCACCGAGAGGCCACGTCGAGAGGGTCTGCCTTGCTGGCCCTGCAGAGCGTCTCAGAAATGGGTCCTCAGGCCCCGGTCGAGCCTTTGGATGCTGCAGCCCCAGCCAACACCTGCCTGCAGCCCGTGAGAACGGAGCCAGAACCAGCCGGCTAAGCTGCCCCCAAGTTCTTGGCCCTCGGAGACCGTGGGAGGGGACCGGTGACCACCTCTCTTTCCAGCCACTCCGTGTCGGGATGACCTGAAGCCCTGGATAGTTAACGCATTGTCCAAGGCACTGCGAACCTGTTGGACTACATATGGAGCCCTCAGTTACTGAGAGAGTGGTTCAAGTTAGCTGTGTCCATCCCATCCTTACTGCACTGGACATGGTTGGATGGCATCACAGACTCAATGGGCATGAACTTGGGCAAACTACGGGGGATCATGAGGGATAGGGAGGCCTGGTGTGCTGCAATCCATGGGGTCACAAGGAGTCAGACACGACTGAGCGACTGAACGACAGTAGCAAAAATACGCAGAACATAAACTTTACCACTGTAAGCTTTCTCCAAGCATACAGTCCAGGGGCATTAAGTACATGCTCACTGTTGTGCGACCATCACCTCCGTCCGTCTCCAGAACACTCCATCTCCCCGAACTGACAGTCTGTCCCCAGGAAACACTGAGTCTCCATCCCCTCCCCCAGCCCCTGGTCCCCAACCTCCAACTTTCTATCTGCATGAACTTGATGACCCTCGGTCCTCACAGAAGTGGCATCATACACTGTTTGTCCTTCTGTGACTGCCCTACTTCCCTGAGCATATTGTCCTCACGGTTCACCCGCGTCGTAGCTGTGTCAGGATTTCCTTCCTTTTAAAGACCAGGTAGTATTCCATCGTGCGGAAGGGCCACACTGTGTGCATCCTGTCGTTCGCTGAAGGACACTTAGGCCACGTCTACCTCTTAGCTGTTGTGACTCTTCCTGCTATGAACACATGTGTACAAATATCTCTTCCTGGCTTTGCTTCCAAGTCTTTAGGGATTCATTCCAAAGGGGGATTGCTTCCCTGCTGACTCAGATAGCAAAGAATCTTCCGGAGATTGATCTACAAGATACCCTGGGTTCAATCCTTGGGTCGGGAAGATTTCCTGGAGAAGGGAATGAAAACTCACTCCAGGATTCTTGTCTGGAGAACTCCATGGACAGAGGAGCCTGGCGGGCCACAGTCCATAGGGTCTCAAAGAGTTGGACATGACTGGGTGACTAACACGCTCACTTTCATGGTAATTCTAGCATGATTTTTTGAGGAACCACCACGTTGTTCTCTATAGTGACTGCACAGTTTTACATTCCCACCAAGAGTGTTTGAGAATTCCAAATTTCTACTCCTCATTCTCACCAACATTTGTCACTCGGTGGAGGGTGAGGGGTGAGGTGTTTATTTGTTTTTAAGATAATAGCTATCTTAATAGGTGTGGAGTGAGTTTCATATTTTCTTAAATCCATTGTCTGCTTTAATTCTCACAATAGCATTACATGGTAGGAAAAGTTAGATCCCTTTCTTACAGATTAGGAAACTGAGGACCAGAGAGCCAAATTATGGGTCCAAAATGATGCAGGTCATGCATGATGGAGATGGGATTCAGGTCCAGGTTTGTAATTCTAAAGCCGTATGGTGAATACTGTGATGTAATATCTCCAGGGACCCAGAGCCAGGAGATGCTGGGAGAGCCCTGGATGTTGTCAGTACATCCCTTCCGAGGTGCCGGGCAGCAGGCCACCCCAGGCATTGGTGGGGGCCCTTGAGCACGCCCCACCCAACAGAAGCCACAGCCTACCTTCTGTATGTCGTCCCAGTTGGTGATGGCACCCCGAGAGATGGGGTATAAGAGGTTGAGTTTCCCTCGGTTTTTCGGAACCTCGTTTCCAATGAACCAGTCTTCCTCTTGCATTCCCACCAGCAGCTTCTGAAACACACAGGCCAGGGCATGTCTGCCCTCAGCAGCATCTCCCTCAACTTTGGTCTGTGGGTGCACTGCGGGTGGCGGGGAGCCCCGACGTACTGCCGGGGACCGCTCTGGGTCACAGCATCACTGCTGGCCTCCTTAGACCCCCACACTGTGTCAAAACACGGCCAAGGGGTTTCAGCAGATGACCTGCAAGCAGAAGGGGCACCTGGGAACCCCCGCTGGGACAGGCTCTCTGCCCACTTTGTCGGTGAGGAGACTAAGACCCAAAGAGAGGAGCGGGAAGGAAGGAGCTCTGGAGGTGGGGGTGGGGGCCGGACACGCTGGCTTCTATCTTTGCTTTGGAAAGCAAGCAGGGAGTCTCCAATTTAATATAATTTGTTATTTGGGGGGAAGACAGATCTGCTTTCATGCAGATTAAACCATGCATTCCATCATCTGGAAACGATCTGAGAGTCGGCTGTGTGTGAATCTGAGTCCACCAAGAACCGGACACCAAGAGGAGACGGACGGTACGAGGATTTTATTAGGGAACACGCCAGATGAGGAGAAGAGACGCCAGCTGCTGTCCGAGTCTGAGGCCAGGTGGGGCCGGGTGGGGGCCTGGTAGACCGCCCAGTCGGCAAAGCCGCTGAGGAGTCCTTGAGCCAAAGTCACTCATCAGGGTCGTTCATTCATTCGTGTCTCCCAGAGGCGGGTCTCCTGGGTGTCCCCGCCGCGCCCCGTTGTTGGCTACAAGTCACGTGCGGGCAGCGCGGCCTTGGTGTCCCGGGGCAGGCGGGCCCTGGTGCGGAGGCAGAGGGCGGTGGCGGTGTGCTGGTGCGCGGGGGTCGTGCTGCGATGGCGCCAGCCTGCGATGGTGCACGCGGCAGGGATGCTGCTGATCCAGTGGCCTGGCGGCGCCAGGCTGCCCTGCTGCAGCGGATTTCGGAGAGAGAGGCCCCCTCAGGGAGCAGCACGGCTCCTCTGCACACAGCTCTTCCATCTCAGGAGTTTGTATTTTGGGCGGAAGAGGCCGTGAGCCCCACGCATGGAGTCCACCCTCTCTGAGCTCCGCCTCCTTCTCTGGCCGGTGTGACAACGGCTGGCCGGCCCTGCATCTGGCCACAGTGTTGCCAGGGATCAAGTCTAGTAAGTCTGTGGCTGGGAACACATTTTATAAACCGAAAGTATCCAGCAATGCAAGGGGCAGATTTCAGCTCAGCCCAATCTTCGTGAGGAGGGAGAGGGACCAGGGGTGCCTGCGGGAACAAGGAAGAGGCAGCCTCGTCCTGGTTTGACGTGGACGGTGCTCGGGTCTGACGATCGCTTTGGTTACAGTGGTTGAGTGACTCTGGGCAGAGCCTGTCCCGCCCCTCCATGGCCAGAGGTCCCCCACCAAGGTCTCCCTGCCCTCCTGCTGCTTCACAGAAGGGCCCGGGAGGGACCATGGTGTGGTTGGCACAGTGGAGCATCCTGCCGTGTGCCAGCCCCTCGTGGAGGCAGAAGCTTCACCAGGGACTCGCCCGAAGCCCGCACAGGCAGCACTGAGATGCCTCACATAACCCGAAGACTGAGAACCCAGGAGGCTGCAGTTCCAATAGAGGGTTTGCTGCCTGATCACTCATCTTGGTCACACGTGGCATTTTGGTGAGGAGTTTGAGCTTCTTTGCAGTAATCTTGTGCTTCCCCAGGTATGTAACCTACATTCTTTTTCTCACTGAACCTCTTTGTTAGAGCGAACAGGTATTATGTCCTCCCTGGGGCTGTAGAATGTTGTTCTATGGGCCAATGTTAATTTTCTTTCTTTCTTTCTTTTTTTTTAGGATTTAGGCTATTTCTTTGTTTCTTTGTTTTAGCTAGAGGATAATTACTTTACAATATTGTGATGGTTTTTGCCATACATCAACATGAATCAGTGTGAGTTATACACATAACCCCTCCCTCTTGAACCCCTCTTCCCACCCCTTTAGGTTCAACGTTAAGTTTGACCTTTCCAGACAAATGATCACACCTGTTGGGGCAAGAGATGTCACACCAAGGGTTTTAAACAGAGGGCCTGAGTACAGGGGGACGGTTACACCGCGCTGGGAGTTTGAACGAAAGAGCAGACAGTAAGACGCCCTGGAGGCCGCTTGGCTGTGGGAAGAACCAGGCAGTGGGTTTGCAGAACAAGGGCTCAGAGGAGGCCCCTCAGGGCTGGGAGGGGCTCTCTCGGGTCACAGGGCGATCTGTGGATGGAGCAGGAGGACGAGGACTGCCTGCTGCTGGGGGGTCGGGGGGCTGAACAGGGTGGTAAAACAGGAAGCCTGCCCCCTCCTGCCGCCTTCCAGAGGCTTTGGTGCCTCCTACTTGCAGAACCTCTCAGGGGCCGCTGGTAGAGGAGCCCCAGCATCACGGAGCAGAGCAGAAACCAGCTGCAGAGGATTGAATGGCGGCCTCTGAGACAGGTCCACATGTAGCTCCCAGAACCCATGCGAGTGCGACCTTGTTCAGAAACAGGGGCTTTGCCGATGTGACTCATTTAGGGATCTGGAATGCAGCTGGATTTAGGGCAGGCCCGAGACCCAGTGGAAAGTGTCCTTATGTGAGAGAAGGGAGGGGAGAGTGGGCAGAAGAGGGTAAGGAGGAGAGAGAAGCCACGGGTCGATGGGGGCAGAGGCCACAGAGATCCAGCCTCAGGCCCGTGAACGCCACCGGAAGCGGGGAGACGCCGGGAGGACCCTCCCCCAGACCCTGGAGAGTGTGGCCCTCGACACCCTGTCACCTGCCGTATAAGTGAACAGAGGGTGTCGCAGCCAACAAGCCCTCAGCCGCTGCAGCCGCCCCGACTGCACCCCCAGGGGACTCGGGATGGAGAAAAGCAGATGCTGGCCCCAGACAGCTGAAAGTGCTAGTCTGAAAGTGCTCAGATGTGTCCGACTCTTTGCGACCCCATGGGCTGTAGCCCCCCAGGCTCCTTTGTCCATGGGATTCTCCAGGCAAGGACACTGGAGTGGGTAGCCTATCCCTTCTCCAGGGGATCTTCCCAACCAGGGATTAAACCTGCGTCTCTACATTGGCAGGCAGGCTCTTTACCAGCTGAGCCAGACAGTCGAAGTGCACATCAAAGGAATGATTCCAACGAGCCCAGACTTTTGCCTCTTCCCATATACAGAAGACCGCTAAATTTATTGACTTGAGATATGTGCTTTTCCTTAACTAACAGCAAACTTTTGATGTACTGACTACCTGGTTTTCGTCACAAAAACCCCTATATGCCCTGACTCCTCCCTTACCCCTCGGAGCAGATCCTCAGAGCGATCTGAGAGCCTGTCTACTGGACCAAAGTCCTCAGCAAATCCACCGAACAAAACAGAATTCTCAGTTTTCAGGCTGTGCCAGTTTGTCTCTTTGCTTCCGTCAACAACACCTTGATTCTGGACCTGGGGTTCCAGAATGAAACTTATGAAGTATAAGCCTCCCTCCTCCATGCACCCCCGGCTAACTCCCACTCCCCACTCCCAACTGTTGAGTAGATAAACCCCTAAAAAGCAGGGTGGGCGAGGGGGGAGGTAAATGCATTTCCATCCTCTCGAGGCTGGTGGGGAATTATTCAGAGACAGTTCAGTTTCCGAGAAAGAGTGGACAGCAGAGGGGGCTCAAAGGCCCCAAACCTCTGGGAGGCAGGAGCCAGGGGAGGCCCCTGGCCGAGCCCCTGCTTCTGGGGACGCGGCGGGGGGAGGGCAGGGGCCGACGGACAGTCTGCTCCTTCCTGGCCGTGACCGACAGCCGTCATGGTGGCTGGAGCCCTGCCTGCCGCTGCGCATTGGGAGGGGCCTGGAGGGGTGTCGGGACCCCTGTCTCACCCAGCTGAGCTGTGGCAAGTGGATTAAGCAAGGCTCTCGCAGCCTTTTCTTATCTCCAGTGTTCACGCCACCCCAGACTCCGGAGCCTACGGGACCGGAAGTCAGCCGCCACCACTAGCAACAAAGGCTAGACTTGGGGAGCTTGGGCGGCTCTTCCGGGAGGTCGAGTGGCTCAGTCTCCAAGGAATCCTGCACACCCAACAGGTTCCCCTGCCTCTGACTTGTGGCAGCCCCCTGCCTCCTCCCGCACCCCGCCCTTCCTCTCTCTGCTTCTTGGATGCACAGGACGGGCCCACCTGGCTCCAGGGGGCATGGCTGGAGGGGCAGCCAGGAGATACAGAAGGAGGGAGGGGACGGCCTCAGAGAGAAGGGGCTCAGACCGGGCAAGGCTGGTACTTCCTTTCCCCGCCCAAGAGAGCACACCTTTCATTACTGCTTAAAGCATGTTATCAGTTGAACTTCGTGCCCTCCCAGCAAACCCTGTGTTGAAGCCCTGACCTCAGAGTGTGGCTGTACTGGGAGCCGGGCCCTTAAAGAGGTGATTACAGTAAAATGAGGTCACGAGGGTGGGGCCCTAGACCCACGGGACTGCTGTCCTTACAAGAGGAGGAGGTCAGGACACAGACACACACAGAGGGACGGCCCTGTGAGGGTGCAGGGAGGAGACGGCCGCCTCCACGCCCAGGAGAGAGGCCTCAGGAGGACCAGTCCCGCCCACACCTGGGCCTCGGATTCCCGCCTCCAGGCCTGGAGAGAATATCTGTGTGCTGTTCTAGCTGCCCCGGCTGTGGGCCTTTGTCCCAGCAGCTCAAGCAAAGCAACACAAAGCCAAAGACGAAGCAATGTGTAGCATTCTCGAGCCAGGTCCTCTTGCTGGGATGTCTTAAGACAAGGCTCAAGGCCCTTTGCATCTTAGCTGGAGAGGGGCTGCGGCCCCCAGGGAGGACGCCCGGGACTCACCTCATGGCGCAGTTTCCCGAGGATGGTTGGAAACACGGCCAGGGGCGCCTCTGTCCCTGCGAAGCCCACCTTGCTGAAGCCCGAGCCGTAGTCGCAGATGAGGGGCACATTCATGGCGCCGCGCGTGAGCCAGCTGCGGGGAAGACAGAGGGTGCGGCTGTCTGTGCCGTGTGCAAGGTGCCCACCCGAGGGGCAGCTGCAGTGCCAGGTAGGACCTCGGCTCTGGGCCCCCAGAGCTGGGCCTGCCTGCGGGGTGAGCTGCCGTCTGCATGCACTGGGCAGTTCGCTGGAGCGGCCAGGCTCTGAAATGACCACCTGCACTGGCTGCCCTGGAGCCGTGTGGCTTTTGCCAGGTGCGGCCCGTGACCTGCCTCACTGGGGTCTCCTGAAGCAGCCCCTTCACCGTTCTCCCAGCCAGGGGGTTTGGCCAGGGGGCCCTGGGAGGTACAGTGGCCCTGGTGGTCTGCATGTTGGTGTCACGGCTAGACCCCCAACCTCTCTCCTGGGAGGCCTCCCACACTGCCTGGCACCAGGTCAAAATCAATCCCTCCCTTCCACTTGGCTTCTAGACAACTTCTTCCAGGTTTTGGCAAGTTTGGAAAACATGAGAAGGATAAAGAAGGAACTCCCAACCTAGAACTGATTCAGAGCGGGGAGGGATTTGCCTCCAACCAGCCGACTCCCTGAGCCTGCTGTTTGCTGGAGAGGGGAACAGGGCTGCTGAACCCAGGACAGAACAGTCCCAGAAGGGGCGCTTTCCTGCTTTACCCCATACCCTTACAGAGCCGGGAGTCACTCGTGAGTCTAAATGTTCAGTATCAACACACAGAAGCAAAAATCTAACAAAGGGTGTTATGGAGATTGGAAGGGAAAGGTTCAGACCATTAGGAAAAGCAACTGGGGCTTCCCCGGTGGCTCAGTGGTAAAGAATCTGCCTGCCAATGCAGGAGACATGGGTTCAATCCCTGGGTCAGGAAGATCCCCTGGAGATGGAAATGGCAACCCACTCCAGTATTTTTGCCTGAAAAATTTCATGGACAAACGAGCCCGGGGGGCTACAGTCCATGGGGTCACAAAAGAGTCGGACATGACTTAGCGACTAAACAACAATAACAGCATCCAGGTGAGGCTCAGCACCACCACGTGCCCCGCACAGCACTTGATGTCTCCCCTAAACAAACGTTGAGGTTAATTATTTAAGTAGTGAGGCCCAAAGCGATATTGGCTTGCTCTCCTAGAATGCCAGACTTCTTGGTCTAGTCCAGAGGACATCACAGTTATACATTTAGAATTAAGTATTTGTATGCACAAGTTGGGAGAAGGAAATGGCAACCCACTCCGGTATTCTTGCCTGGAGAATCCTGTGGACAGAGGAGCCCGGTGGGTTGCTGTCTATGGGGTCGCACAGAGTTGGACACGACTGGAAGTGTCTTAGCAGCAGCAGCAGCAGCACGTGTGCATAAGTTAATACATGTCAGCAAACTGTCTGCAGAGGGTGGCATCAGAAGAAGGCTTCTGGCTCAGCGTTTTCCATCCTGGATCCCAGGACTTGCACAATGTGGCCTGGGATGGTGCAGCCCTTCAAGATGCTGGGTTCTGCTTTTTCTTCCTGCAAAGCAGCTGTTTCCTGTGAGTCCTGGCTGTCCCCTGGTGGCCGCTCACTAGACCACAGCGCTCAGACCCAAGTTAGGAAAGATTTCCCATGTTCTTCCTTCTGGAGCCAAGAAAGGCTTTCAGCCTTTCAACTGACCTCTAACAATGCAGAGTAATTTGACAACATTAAAAAAATGTTAAGTACAATAGGGAAAGGAAGAGGCAGTTTTTCTTCTTCTCTTTTTAAAATTGTAGCTGATTTACAATGTTTTAATTTCTGCTGTGCGGCAACGTGATCCAGTTACGCATTCTTTCCCATTACAGTTTATCGTGGGGTATTGACCATCGTTGCCTGGGCTGCCCATAGGACAGTGCTGTTTATCCACTCTAAGTGCAATAGTTTGCATCTGCTAACCCCAGACTCCCACTCCAGCCCTCCCCCAACCCTTCCCCCTCGGCAACCACAGGTCTCTTCTCTGTGTCCGTGGGTCTGTTTCTGTTTCACAGACACGTTCATTTGTGTTGTATTTTAGATTCCACATGTAAGTGATATCACATGGTGCTTGTCTTTTTCTGTCTGACTTATTTCACTTAGTCTGATCATCTCCAGGTCCATCCTGCAAACGGCAGGATGCAAATGGCATTGTAGCTGCAAATGGCATTGTTTCACTTTTTTTCGTGGCTGAGTAGTATTGCATTGTGTATATATGTACCACATCTTCTTCACCCATTCGTGTGTCGATGGACACTTAGGTTGCTTCCATGTCTTAGCTACTGTAAATAGTGCTGCTGTGGACATTGAGAGCCTTGTATCCTTTAAAATTAGAGTTTTGTCCGGATAAATGCCCAGGAATGTGTTGCTGGATCACATGGTGACTCTTTTTTTTAGTTTTTTGAGGAACCTCCATGCTGTTTTCCATAGCGGTTGCACCAGCTTACCTTCTCTCCAACAGTGTAGGAGGGCTCCCTTTGGGAGGGGCAATTTTAACACATTTGTACTTAACTTACATATCCAGTTCTGGGTCCTGAAAGAATAGAAAGGTGCTGTCTCTATCTTGTAGAAGTGATGAGTCCATCTAGTACAGAGGGCCACACGCATGGCCCATGGGCCACTTCCAGCTTCCGTCTGTTTTCTAAAGTTTTGTTGGCACACAGCCACACCCATTTGTCTGCATATTGTCTCCGGTGCTCTGTTACTATAGCAGCAGTGCTGATCGGTCGTGACAGAGGCTGTCTGACCCACAAAGCCTAAAGCACTTCCTAGTTGCGTTTTTCTGGAAAGTTTTCCTGCTCCTGGGTGCACTGGTTCATGGTGACACCTGCAGAACGGACTATGGTTAGCTTGGAAAGAAGTTTCCTCTGTGGGTCTGATTTTTCATCAGCTCATTCCAAAAATTATTGCAGACCTACTGTGTGCCAGGCATTATTTCTGGTCAGAAAAGATGCTCGACGTTTTCAACCTTGGAGAGCTTCCTATTTCCAGTTTGGACAATCGTCATGCCAGTTACCAGCATTTTCCACCCAAAACAGCATCTCACTCTTTTTCAGCTTCCACACCAAGCCCACCACCTGGACCAAGGTTTCACCCATTCAACACAGCTGCCCTGTCTGCTAGACTGAAATTTATCATGGGCGCCTCTCCTCACTCACCTGTATCCCCTGATAGCGTTGGAGGCCAAATTCATCCTCCAGAGAGAACAACAACAATGAAGTGTCCACCTCACCTGGTCAGGGCCCACAGGAAGGGAGAGGAAATCTGGGTCTGGTTTGTTGCACCTGCTGTTAAGTCAAGGCTCTGCTCCCTGAAGTCCTTAGAGCTCCACTGAAGATTTCCTCACCTGCGTCACCCTGGCTTTTGTCACTGATGAGAAATGCAAGTGCTCGTGAATTTCAAAAACACATTTGAAAGAAAATGCCGACGCATTTTCATTTACCAGTGGCCAGAAGCAGCCCCAAATGGACCCTTCTCCTTAATAGAGTCTTAATTTAAATGTGAATGCGCGGGGCTGTCTGAACACATGAAAAGAAACCCAGGCTGCCTTGCTGTGTTCTGCCAGGAGCCCCTGACTCTGGGGCCTGGGAGCCTGCTCAGGTGCCCAGACCTACGAAAACTGGGGAATTCCTGAGACTTTGAGGATTGAATTCTAGACTGTTTCAGAAGTAATTTGGTTCAATCCCCACTTAGAAGTCATATATATATATACATATCTGAAGGAAGAAGATTAAAAGAAGCATCAGGAGAAAACTTGATGAGGAATTCCCTGGTGGACCACTGGTTAAGAATCTGCCTACCAATGCAGGAGACATGGGCTTGATCCCACATCTGGGAAGATCCCACAGGTCATGGGGCAACTACACCCATGTGCCACAACTACTGACCCCACCTGCCCGCAAACGTATGGTCTACGGCAAGAGAAGCCTCTGCAGTGAGAAGCCCACCCACCACAACGAAGACCCAGTGTAGCCAAAAATAAAATTTTGTTTAATTTTTTTTTTGAAAAGAGAAAACGTGAAACCATTCATTTTTGTTGTTTTTGTTCAGTCGCTAAGTCATGTCGAACTCTTTGTGACCCCATGGACTGCGCATGCCAGGCCTCCCGATCCCCCATAATCTCCCAGAGTTTGCATAACTAAATTCATGTCCATCCAACCATCTCATCCTCTGCTGTCCTCTTCTCCTCCTGCCCTCAATCTTTCCCAGCGTCAGGGTCTTTTCTAATGAGTCGGCTCTTGGCATCAGGTGGCCAAAGTATTGGAGCTTCAGCTTCAGCATCAGTCCTTCTAATGAGTATTCAGGGTATATTTCCTTTAGGATTGACTGGTTTGATCTCCTTGCTGTCCAAGGGACTTTTATGAGTCTTCTCCCACACCACAGTACGAAAGCATCATTTCTTCAGTGTTCTTCATTATGGTCCAGCTCTCACATCAGTACATGACTACTGGCAAGACCATAGCCTTAACTATACACACCTTAGTCAGCAGGAAGTTTGAAATTCCCAAGCACATCTTGCTTCCTGCAAAGCCACCAGCCCCCTCTTACCTCCAATTTCCCGGGGAAGAGACGTGGCAGGTGCAGGCCTGGTTCTCAGAGGAGGGGTTCTCGTTTATTCAGCAACCATCAGTCTCGTTCAGCAAAATTTCTCTTTCTGTTAGGAAAAAAGATTTCAAAGTCCTCTAATTAAACAGTGAAAGCATCTAGGCCAAACCAGAGGTACGGAAACAAAGGGCCGAGTGACCGTCACAGACAGAGCGGCCCAGGAACGCCCTCCCCGCCCCGTCCACCAAAGGAAAGCCCTTCCGTAAAAACGAGCTATCTGCTTAACTGAAACTTCGTGAACGCAACGTGTGCAAACTCACAAGCCTCTCGAGGAGATGACAAACCTCTCTGCCTGCTTCACCAAGGATGCTGGCTGTGGGGTGGCCTGGGGCCACCATGACGCAGAACAATTGCACTGTGCTGTGAGACAGCTGTGACCTCAGGGTCCCGCCCTGACCTCAGCTCCAGCCTGCCAGGTCCCGGC